TGGTATAATAGACGATATGTACTTAGATCCGGGAACTTTATGGGAATTTTCAAGTAACCTATTCATAAAATGCCCTTCGAACAAAAATAGAACAGATAATAAAATAATACAGAAGCAGAACAAGTGCTTGATTTATGTTTTTGGTTGTTTTGTGAACATAAAATAATATCTACTAAATTCTTGATGAAACATAAGGATGTACATTATGCATGTATCATACCCCAGCATAAAGTAAAACAAATTATCATATTTTCATCAGCGATGGTTGCTGTCATGGTGCGCTGGTTCTATGGGGCCTTATCACGAGACTTCCCGACTATATATTACAACAAGGTTTTCCTAGCTCTGATAAGGGAGGGGCGATGACGGTGGCGCGCCTTAGCCTCACTCCAGTGCTTGTAGTGGTCGCTAGATGATCTACAGATCTGGATGTATTTTTTAATTTTAGTGTTGTTTGTACTACCTTGACAGTTGATGAATAGATTGAAAGTTTTCCTCACAAGAAAAATATCATTTTCTAAATAAAATATATACATCCAGGAAAAAAAATCACAGCTGGCTGCCAGGCCCCACAGACAGCTAGCACAAAAGGTAAAGGGCCTTGCCCGTTTAGGCATCTTTATCTTTTTCCTTGGATTCCATGTGTAGGCCATGTGGATGTGGAAGCCGCCATTGGTACAGCTCCATCATTGATCACCTTTTTCTTCTTCAGGTATGTAGACTTGAGTGGTGAACGCAGCCATGCAAAGTCAAAGTCTTCAAGTTCCATGTATTCAACTAATTGGTTCAGACTGGAGAATCACCCATTTGTATGTACACTGTTGCCTGACGTTTGCATTTGATATGAAAAGCCACAAGCATGTCTCTGCTCGTACATACCAATGCGCGCTGCATGGATTTTTCTTTTCTTCATTTGAAACTCCCATATGCTCGGCTTTTCAGTTAATTGCCTTCACAAATCACAATCATTCACTTGCCCCGTCGATCAGAGAAGCAGAGGGCGTGCATGCATGCTACCACAGAGAGCACGTTGTCGTTGACGCAATGCACCCTATGCATGGCCGCAACACATGTGCACGTACAGCACGTACATTTGATCATCTTCTGCTCGTTATCTCCATTCAGATAAGTGTCGGATTCACTGGAGCAAAGCGTAGGGAGTGTGGAGGCCACCACCTACATCGCCATTTGCCAAATACTGCCCTTCAGCCCGTGAAGCAAAGCATTATACATATGTCCCTGCAATGCAGACAGGCAATTCCGCAGAGCATTGTACATATATGTTCTATCATTTGACTCATTTTTTCATTCACGGGTAAAATGGTAACTTCTTTTCGTTTCTACCAAGCAGAATTTCCCAAATACTCCCTCCGTGCAATAAAACTTGTCTCAAACTTGTCCCTCAAATGGATGTATCCAGCACTAACTTGGTGCTAGATACATCCATTTAAAAGACAATTCTTTTCCGACGAAGGGAGTACCACTCAAGGCTGGCTTAAATGTTAGTCGCACAATCTGAAGACATATATAGCAAAGTTCAACACCGGAGAGGCCACCGTTTGCTCAAACAGTGATGTTGAATTTGTTAAAGTTCTCAAGCAAATGTTGGGGAACGCAGTAATTTCAAAAAAAATCCTACGCACACGCAAGATCTATCATGGTGATGCATAGCAAGGAGAGGGGAAAAGTGTTGTGCACGTATCATCGTAGACCGTAAGCGGAAGCGTTATGACAACGCGGTTGATGTAGTCGTACGTCTTCACGATCCGACCGATCCTAGTACCAAAAGTACGGCACCTCTGCGGTCTGCACACGTTCGGCTCGGTGACGTCCCACGAACTCTTGATCCAGCTGTGTGTCGAGGGAGAGATTCGTCAGCACCACGGCATGATGACGGTGATGACGAAGCTACTGGCACAGGGCTTTGCCTAAGCACTACGACGATATGACCAAGGTGAATTATCGTGGAAGGGGGCACCGCACACGACTAAGGGATCAATGATCAACTTGTGTGTGTATGGGGTGCCACCCTCCCCCGTATATAAAGGAGTGGAGGAGGGGAGGGCCGAACCTCTCTATGGCGCGCCCCAAGGGGGATTCCTACTCCTAGTAGGAGTAGGTTTCCCCCCTTCCCTAGTTGGAGTAGGAGAAGACGGAAGGGGAAGAGGGAGAGAAGGAAAGAGGGGGGCGCCGCCCCCTCCCTAGTCCAATTCGGACCAGCCCATGGGGGGGGGGGGCAGCCACCCCTTGAGGCCCTTCTCTGCTTTCCCGTATGGCCCATTAAGGCCCTTTACTTCCCCGGCGAATTCCCGTAACTCTCCGGTACTCCGAAAAATACCCGAATCATTCGGAACCTTTCCGATGTCCGAATAAAGCCTTCCAATATATCAATCTTTACGTCTCGACCATTTCGAGACTCCTTGTCATGTCCGTGATCTCATCCGGGACTCCGAACAACCTTCGGTACATCAAATCACATAACTCATAATACAAATCGTCATCGAACGTTAAGCGTGCGGACCCTACAGGTTTGAGATCTATGTAGACATGACCGAGACACATCTCCGGTCAATAACCAATAGCAGAACCTGGATGCTCATATTGGCTCCTACATATTCTACGAAGATCTTTATCGGTCAAACCGCATAACAACATACATTGTTTCCTTTGTCATCGGTATGTTACTTGCCCGAGATTCGATCGTCGGTATCATCATACCTAGTTCAATCTCGTTACCGGAAGTCTCTTTACTCGTTTCGTAATGCATCATTCCGCAACTAACTCATTAGTCACATTGCTTGCAAGGCTTATAGTGATGTGCATTACCGAGAGGGCCCAGAGATACATCTCCGACAAATCGGAGTGACAAATCCTAATCTCGATCTATGCCAACTCAACAAACACCATCGGAGACACCTGTAGAGCACCTTTATAATCACCAAGTTACGTTGTGACGTTTGATAGCACACAAGGTGTTCCACCGGTATTCGAGAGTTGCATAATCTCATAGTCATAGGAACATGTATAAGTCATGAAGAAAGCAATAGCAATAAACTAAACGATCATAGTGCTAAGCTAAAGGATGGGTCTTGTTCATCACATCATTCTCTAATGATGTGATCCCATTCATCAAATGACAACACATGTCTATGGCTAGGAAACTTAACCATCTTTGATCAACGAGCTAGTCAAATGGAGCCATACTAGGGACATTCTGTTTTGTCTATGTACTAATTTTCCGGTTAATACAATTCTAACATGAATAATAAACATTTATCATGTTATAAGGAAATATAAATAACAACTTTATTATTGCCTCTAGGGCATATTTTCTTCAGCAGAGACATTATTGGCCCGCGTGCTTCTGAAAAGGGCCAATTTAATTTAGATTTACTCCCTCCTTTTCGGTTTATAGGGCTTATCTTAATTTGTTTGTTTTTTCCAATTTAATGGGCTCATCTCCATCTCATTTTTAGTTAAATCTTTTCATCCAAGAATTAAAAAGAAACACATCAATGCATGTAATGTTCCAATTCATCTAGTGGCCAAGCATGCATGCACTGCAATTAATTCAAATTAGTGCATGAGTTTAATTGGGGTAGTTTTGTAAAGTACGTGATACACTCCTTCACTCACAAAATGTCTTGGTTGATGAGATTTCAGATTTAAGCGCTATAAAACAGAAAGGAGGGAGTATCAATTATCACGTGCATATATTATCTAATGTAACATTCCATTGTTCAACTGACATGTCGCTACGTGTGTATGTGCGCCATTTTATAACGGATGGGTTGACTTGCTACATATCGATCTACTTGCATTCACACTACTACACTGAAATTGACATCCATATGAGTTGTCGATTCACAATATTTCAGCATAATACAGTATAGCTAGTAGCAATTAATTGAAGATGGAGGAATGTGTCTTGGCTTTCGTGTGACGGAAGTTGGCCAGAGCGACGTTGGTATACCTAGTTGTAACGACATATTTATTGTCGAAGACACTACAAAAATAACCCAACAAAATTTAAACACTGACGTTAAACAAATACTGGAGGTTCATGCTTGACACAAGTTATAAGAAACCAAAGTGGATGCAATTTTTAAGGAAGTGGTGATTCTCAAAAGTGCCGATTAGCTAGCAACCAATCATTTTCACTTGCTTTTTCTTCTTTTTTGAGAAACATCATTTTCGATTGCTAAATTTCAAAAATGAACAAACGGACGTGTTCCTTCTTGGTGAGCTTTCGGCCCACCACATCAGGCTCTCCCGAATCACCCACTCTCTTGACGTCGAGGAAGAAAGTGAAGTATTGAATGGGTCCAGAACCAAAAGCCATCACATAATAGTATGCAGTAACATCTGCCTCTCACTTTCATCCATCCCTTTCTTTAATATTTGCTCGGTCTTACCGCATATTATACTCCTTTATTTGATACTTTAGTCAACATATTTTCTGACATACTCTTTTGTTTGATACTTTAGTCAACATATATTTGTTTGGCATGACGCCCACATGTCCACATCTTGTACTCCCTCCGTTTCTTTTTACTCCGCATATAAGGTTTGGTCAAAGTCAAACTTTATAAAATTTGACTAACTTTATAGAAAAAAATATTAACATTTACAATACTAAAGTTATATGTTCTGAAAATTTATTTCATCATGCATTTAGTAGTATTGATTTCATAGTGTCATTGTTGATATCTTTTGCTATAAAGCTAGTCAAATTTTACAATGTTTGACTTTGACCAAATCTTATATGCAAACTAAAAAGAAACGGAGGGAGTATTTTCTTCTGTTTTGCCAAAGTTTGCTTTCGCCAATGGATACTAATTAACATAACTGTCAATGTCTGACTGTCAAAGTCTGGATGTTGTGGGAACAAAGTTCATTCCCCTAAATAATGAATTTCTTCTTACCCTATATACTGTATATAGCTATCTGAAAAAAACAACACCTGCATGGTATACTCTTTTCTCCCAGATGTGCGATGATTAAATGAAGCAAATAATTAAGCAGCCCGTACCAGTAGAAAGTAAATTACATTCGAGCAAGTTGGTGATATTTTTGGGCATCTGCACCATGTAATCACATAGCCAGAATATCGAGCAATACATGCCTATGATCTTATTCCAAAAATACTCCAGCAACGTACAACAAGATATGACAGCCCAAAAGTCGGTATAAATCGCAGAACAGTCAACATTCCTTCCCATGCATTGATCATGTTGTGAAAACAACATGAAGAAGATGTTATGTAGCTACTCAAGGGTGTTTCCATCCCATTCTTCTAGCAACTAATAACTAGACATATGTACCATATGCGGGATTTCCTCTTTATATATAGTTATGGGATATATATTTTACACAAATCAGTTTACTATCATACCAATGCTCTCAGTCGTTCAGAAACACTTGAAACATCTATGCCAATTCTCGAGCTGAAAGCCTGCACAAGATAGAGAGAGGAAATTAATTGACGCAACTAATTAACCCATGCTAATTTAATGGAAAAGGTAGATAATAAATTGGATTTATATTTAGATGGAAAGAAGTTCTTAATCATGCAAGTAAAGACATTTTCCAGTCACTGTAGGTTAAATTTAAGACATAAATTCTAGCGGATGGAGATGGAGGAAGAGAAAAGAAATGAGTTAAAAAAATTGTGGCACATGTATATATCTAAGGTCATTTTCAAACTCTTTATCTAGCTTTCCCCAATTTTATATCTTTCTACATAGAGAGGAATCTACGGTTTCATATTTTTCATGTATGTATACATGCATCACTTTCATGTTCCCTTTGTGTCTTTCACTTGTATATATACCATTAGTTTACTTCAATATGTGTAGGTACAGTAGAAACAAATGTAAACCCCTCCAATAATATGGACACAGCAAGTAAATAGTTATGGTCAAAATGAATACTCGGACTCGTGTGTGCCTTAGACGACCCACAGTGGGAGTAACATGGATAGTAACATCACACATATCTAGATATAATAGACGACGTGGCAAGCAATAAATGAAGAAATAGAGGCATGTGGTAACATAGCTAGTTACTAGTAGTATGAGTAACATCACACATATCAAGGGAAGATGAGTCTATAGCCTAATAAATGAAGTGTTGCATGTTATCACATATATGTTACTTCCCACTATAGAGGTAGTAACATAGACTAGTAACATAGGCATGTTACTAGTCTAAGTTACTCCCCATTCTGGCTAGTCTTATACTTTACAACATGGGTTGTATTTTCTTATGCAGATGTGAAAGGCTATACCTATGTATGTACATACCCGTGAGTGTATGGTGTAGAAGATTTTGTGGCCAGCAACGGAGTGATTGGCATTGACGACCTCGGCGCCTTCTTCCTCGAGGATGGTGATCACCTGGTAGAGCATGATCGGCCTCTCTGTGCTGCATACCAGCACCACATCCATGCTCGTATCATCGTGTTGACACACCTCAACCACCGGTGCCGATGCCTCCCAATGTTTCTCTCCTTCTGGTGACCCCGCACCACCACTCGTGGTAGAGGTGGTGGTGGGCGTTGAGGCGCCACTAGCCCCTCTTGCGGCAGCCATTGCTTGTGCAGAGTTCCTCCTATGTTGCAGCTCGTCCACCCTCTCTTTGAGCTTCTTGATGTATGACGCAGCCTCATCCAGGCTGCCTAGCTGGGTCATCGTATCCTTTATACACATTTAAAGTCCAACATTGTTAGAAAAATATGAGAAAAAAATATAAAATATATCAAAGGATGTTAATTTGTTTTGCAAAGATAAGTCTCTTATTTTGATAATGGAAGAGCTATATTTCCTCATCTATGCATCCTGAATATGCACATGACCAGACATAATAATCTTCTGAGTTTGAAAATGTTATCAAATCATCTCTTGTAAAACTAACAGTGGATTATCTTCATACTTTTTGTTTCTACTTGACAGAGAGTTTGATAAGCTAGTGGGTTTACTTTCCCTCTGTCCCATATTAGTTGCCGCTGAAATGGATGTATCTCGACATATTTCAATGCTGGATACATCTGTTTCACCGACAACTAATATGGGACGGAGCGTGTATTATTAATAGGTAAGAAATATTTATGTGAAGAGCCGCATAAGACCCCGTACGTCCATTTGAGGCACAAAATTAATAAAGCATTATATGTATTCTCTTATATATTTGTGGCTATCCAAATTCCGTGCTCAGTTTTTGAGAGATGAACAAAATGATTCTCGCAAGCTTGGAACAAAAACAATTACGCATTTCAAACATGACACTAGCTTGGATATTTCCTGGGAACTTGGGCTGTATATTCAGAGTATGCCAGAAAAATATATCGAGGTGGGAACTTTAGAAATTTATATGTTTCAATATTACTAGTACTATTTTGTACACCTGCATGTGAGGTCCATAGCATGATTGTACCAGTCGGCTAGCTTCGGTTGTCCATCTCAACGGGAAATGTTTACAAAATAGTTAATAGGTTGTACTCCCTCCGTTCTGAATTACTTGTCGCACGTATGGATGTATCTAGATGTATTTTAGTTATAGATACATCCATTTCAGTGACGAGTAATTTGAAACGGAGGGAGTATGTTCCTACGTCACAGTTCATAAGGAAAGCAACACATCCCAACAAAATTAAATGCCCGGCCGTACGTAGAACTCAATTGCCTTGGCCCGTTGATTACGATATTTCATTCCCCGCAAAAAAAAAAGATTACGATATTTCATGTGATGAGAAGGACTATACTTAATTACTATAGGATCTACTGGATAGTGAATTGGGTAGAGTGAAATAAATGTCCATATATACACACAACAAACCCTCCCGACTAAATGACTTCAGAATAACTAAACGTATTCATCTTGTTCCTTTTTCTGGGCTAAAGTGTCCCATTATTCTGCTGAAAGGGTAACAAATTGTACAACATATGGAGTACTGTTTTGTGGTCTTACAGGGTTGGAGAAGTGTTCTTTTGGGATGAGGGAGGTGAGCTTGGCGCAGAGCGCCTTCATGTGCTGCCTCCTCTCCCTCTCTGCCTCCTTCCTCTCCACTACTCTCGCCGCCGTCGTGCCGCCGCTCATCCTGCTCCTCTTCCCGCCCCTCGCCGCCTTCACCTGCATCTCCATCTCGACCGATGGTCGAAATGCAACCAGAATGATGGAGGGGGAGATGGGTGAGGAGGAGTGCGGGTTTATGAATACAAGAAGGCAGCTGCTAGCTAGCTGGAGTGAGTGTTTTGTTTTTCATGGAGCAGCCAGATGGAAGTAGGAGATGAAGAATTCCAAAGGATGATAGGTAGGAGGACTGGAGTGGTGTGGCTTAAATGGGAGGCGGACGGGACAGATGGGTGTTGTGTGTGCGCGCCCGCGGATAAGGGAAGGACGGGCCAGGATGTGGAAAATGTGCCTAAGTAGTAGCTAGATATATGTGTGGACACCGCAAACGAACACTCTAGAGTATTAAAATATAGTATGTACGTATTATAAAATATATGTGGTTGCACAGGTGAGTACACATGCATGCGAGACAGGGAGCACCAAGAAATATGCACGGGTAATATAAATTTTTTAGGAAATATCGACGGGTACTTTGATTCACAACCAAAACTTAATTTACGTACCACCGCACCAAATCTGTGGTGAATTATACTTGGTTGGGCAAGGTTTCCTTCGTGGTAGCTGGGTCCCACTTGTCATAGATTTGAAAAATGTGGTTCTAAGGGCAACAACAGCAAATTGGCCTTGGCATGAGCCTGATGGCTCGAACCCAAAGCCCGATAGACTGGCGGGAAGCTTGAAATGTCCTTGAATATAGTTTTTAAATAAATGTCCTCGAATATAATGATGTATTTTTATACCCCAAACAATACTTCTAAATATAAATATGTCTTACAATACACATTTTAAGGGAATGTCTTAAAATACATAATAGTGCATTTTGTGGCGGGGCTAGGGTTCGGACCGGGTCTTTAGGGTCGGGCTTATTGGAGCCCAGCCCGACAAATTCCTAGGTCTGGCAGCAAAGGCCCCTACTTAGGTCCTCAGAACGTTTGAGGCAAGAAAAGTAAAACAGCTCTAGTTGGTGGCCTCCATCTCGCCATATCCCTGGTGACGTTGTAACGCCGCTGGCTGCCGCAGTTCCTCTACCGCCCCTCCTCGGCCTGCCTCCCGCATCATCGCCGCTCGACGCTTCCACATCCCGAGCCCGCATCGCTGCCTCCCCATCCTCGACGCAGCATGTCACCGACTTCGGCCACAACGAGGCAAGGGGGACGGCACAAATGGCGAAGCAAGAAGAAAGGAAGGATAGGAAAACATGATAAAAATAAAATGCGAGACGCTAACCTAAACTGTTGCTCACCTGTTGCCTGATGGATTATGGATGGGCTTAGGCCCATATAAGACAATAATGCCTAGTTAATCTCTAAGGCCCATGCATGTGTACGGCAAGTGGTGGGAAGTGTGGGAAGTTTAGTCCCATACTGCTACAGTAAGAAGAGTGAGACCTTTTTATAAGGGCTGCTCTACCACTTGCTATTGGGAGCTTGGTAATAGGAGTTATACACGTGCGCTCCTCCTCCGCCGCCGCCCGCCTCGCCTCGCCCCGACGCGCGTGCCGCGGGTTGCGGGAATGAGCCGAGCCGAAGCTTATTTCTGCCTCTCAGAAATGGTTAATTAATCTCGTATTAATTAACGAGTCGCTTGCGGAAGCGCCACTGTCCGAGACGTTGGACCGTGGACTCGGTCGCGGACCCTAGCCGTCATCTACTGTTCCTCTCACTGTGCTGCCTCCGGCGATCCCATCCCGACGACCGCGTGCACGGTTGGTCGGGAGAGCAGGTGCCTCCGGAACCCTGTCATTCGAGATCCTGCTCGGGAGAACGGCAATAAGGTTTTTGGGGAGCGACTCGACGCGACTGCTCCCGATCCGTCCCCAACTCCGTTCGCCTCTGCTTCCACTACTTCCTCTGCATCGACACCATGACCGACGACGCCGCCGCTAAGAAGAAGGCCGCGGACGACGCTGAGGCTGCTGCTCCCGCCGCCGTGTTGGCCTGGCCAACCGGAGGGTATGATCTGTTCATCCCTCGTTTACTCGTACTAATGCTAGCCGTATATGTGCTGCTCATAGAAGGTTCGATTCTATGTTCTGTGCGTGCTAGTATGCTTAGGTATCGCTATAAGATGCATACCTTTTATGCCATGCTTACTGTTTACTCGTGGATAAGCCTAATCGAAAAAGTGCTAATATTTCCAATATTGCCGCTGTGGTGTTGCAGTGTTGCTGTTTCCTAGCGGTGAGTAATGACGGGCACAGCTGGGCCGTGCTGAATGGACATGCAACTAGGCTGGGTCGAACACTTTGATAAACGATAGTCCTTGCACGACCGATGATCCAAAGGTGCAAATCCACGCATCGGATGTGATGAAAGGAAAGGCTCAGCTGGCTCTGTCGTCCATAAATCCATGCCGGCCGGCGCCGTGGCACCGCATTAATTCAGCGAGTGGGTGGCAAAATGTGTGCAAGAAAAGCATGTCTACTCGTGTGGATTGATTATTTGTTGACCCAAGAAAAAGACACGACCAAGGAGAGCTCAGCTCATACTCATAGATCGCATCCATGCATGCGTCACGCCGGTGACGAGGGCAAGGCTGACGTACGCATGCATGAAGCCCAAGATTGGTGGATCGGCTGCCTTGGATTGCTTCTGGCGATCGATGACAGAATTGTGCATGGATCTAGGCAGAAGCGATCCAGCCAGGTCTCTCTCTGTCTCTCTGCCTAGATCCATCGATCGACCTTCCTATGACGTGCGCGTGCATGACGCACGTATATCTCCGTGGAGAAGCCTCGCTGACACCGACACCATTAGCTCTCTCCGTCTCTCCATGTCGTATACCTCCATGTCTGCCTTCAGGCAGCTAGTAGAAACGTCTCTCCTCACACGCTTCCTGTGTGTGTATGTATGTATCTATTTTCTTTCGTTCGGGTTCATAGTATTTGTCAATTCTAAACTTCGGGCTATCGAGCTAAGCCGCCATTGCTCATGTCTATATCCCGTGCATGATGGCACTAGAGCATCTCGAAGGCACTCCTCAAATATTTTTCATATTTTCAGGTAGACAATCCGAACCTAGTTCGGACCCAAATACGCCTCGTCCATGGGCCTTCACAAACCTGACGCATATGTCCGGACAGTCTGGATTTCCTCAAACCCACCTTATATGTGGTGGGGAAGAAATTGAGGAGTTCGGACATGTTCGCGACATCAGCTTCAGCCCACCTCAGACCTCTCTCTCACGCACACAATACAAAAAAACACACACACTCTCTTTCTCTCTCTCTCTTCCTCCACAAACGACGCGTCAAGCCCTACGACTCTATCGTTCGTGTGCAGGCATTATTATTTCTGGCATATATACATAATACCGGCGTGCATTTCGCCAATATGAACAATGTGCAAACAATGAATGGTTTATCACATCCATAAACCATCCACCCCAGAAATCTGTGGTCGACGCACGCATGTGCATGCATGGCGCCAAATGAAGAACAAAAACCGGATCTAACTCTTGTGGAAGCTAGCTAGCCAGCCAGTGGTCCGATGCATGGCACAGATCACAGATGGATGGACACATGCCATGCCGACATGTGTACACAACAATCTCTAGGGCCTTCTCTCTCACGTACCAATCCAGCCACAGTTGACATGGTCATGAGACAGGCAGTGGCTTTTAAACTTTACACAAAGCACAAGAGGCAGACGCACAGCTGTGCAAACGTACACCACACCAGCAACCAAGCTATGCTCGAAACCAAAAGTATGTCTATCTATCATAGTGTGGTCCGGTAGGGATGCATTTGGATCCTTACATGTTGGATGTACATATATTTGTGTACTACCAATGATTATTCAGCAACGGAATATATGTAGAGACAGACAATTTCGAGGAATGTAGTACTCCGTAATCATGGGAGTGGCAATTTGGTTCCCGAGCACCATGGTGTAGTGGTACTTTTTTTTAACGAATCTAAAAGGATATCTAAAAATCTCATAGAACATTAACATGTGTGTTTAAAATATATATGTAAAAACTTCTCAAATATTGGGTTGGCTCATAGGCTGCAAAAGGAAAGATTTGTGGCTAGCAGGAAGCAAGAAAATTTTGGCTTCGGTGCTTGTAATCATCGTTAAATCGTCTACGGATCTGGATGTATTTTTTATTATTTCCGGTGTTCGTTGTACTACCATGATTGAAGTTAGATACTCCCTCCGTCCGAAAAAACTTGTCCCAAGCTTGTCTCTTAAATGAATGTATCTAGCACTACATCCATTTGAGGGACAAGCTTTTTCGGACGGTGGGAGTAGAACGGAAGTTTCCTTGGAAAAATAATAATTTCTTGAGGTCTCACAATAATCTTTTCAGTTTTTTTATAAAGTCTCCATGTAGCTTGGGATACACAACGCTTTTATGGTCATCATATTTGTCCAAAAATAATTGGTCTATGCTACATTTGATTGATATTTTTATTTCTTCTACGTTCATCATGTCCTATCTTCCATCTATCCTTAACAGTGATGACTAAACAGATGGGTGTACCCCCTCGCTCGTGCGACCAATGGCGACCAGAGATATGGTTTCTCTAGCCTCTCGCCGGCGCCGCCGCTAGTCTACCTTGCCTCCTGCAGTCCTAGGACCATGGTGACGCGGTCGATCTCGGACCTTGCCGCAAGAGGGCTATGTTATTAGGTGTTTTTAGGATGGAGGTAATATTTCATTTTGTTCGAGCGAGGAAAAAGAAAGGGGGTGGGAGGGGGGCAACTGTTTCTCATCAACTGCAGTCCAAGCAACCCACAGTGATTTTAGAAGATTCGGTCAAATTTACGATGTGAACACCCCATCCATGGCCGTTGAAGCTCCGACTCAAAATGAAAATGGAAGTGTGCTTGCTTGGGGGGAGTACTCTTTGCTCTGTCTGCATCTACTGTTACCCGTCCCATGCATCGGCGACGTTGAAGGCATGGTCTCACTCTCATATCAGGTGTAAACCGAGCATGGAGTGCCAGCCGCCATTGGTACTTACTTACGTGACCATTCAGAGAGTGACACATCACACGCATGCATGGTCTTAGCTACTCTAGTACACATGGCAGCACGTTGACGCAACACGTGTATACATACAACACGCACGCAGTTGACCATTGTCTTGTAATGGTTGGACTCACTGGTGTGGTGTGTGGTTGCACATACATGTTTTTATTCATTTTTTCTTTTTTCCTTTCTATTTTTTTATTTCATAAATGCGCGGATTTGTTTTCAAACTTGTGAACCTTTTTCCCAAAATCAATGAACTTTTTTTCGAATTCACAAACTTTTTCTTCAAAATCTATGAGTTTTTTTCCCAAAATCCATGTAACTTTTATTCAAATTTTTTCAACTTTATTCCAAATAGCACAATTTTTTTTCAAAATTGATAATTGATGACTTTTTCAATTTTTGTGAATTTCTTTTCAAAATTGATGAACTTTTTAAAATTCTATGTTTTTTTCAAAATCGATGAACCTTTTTGAATTCGCTTTATTTTAAAAAGTTTTTTCAAAGAGTCAACGGTCAACTAGTGAATGGTGAACCGTTACTACTCAACCCAAGGAACCGATTTTATTTTGTAGTGAACCAGCGAACAGGGCGATTCCTGAGCAAAGCGAATCTCTCTTGTTGGGCCGGCCCATGAGGGGCAGCGCGGGCACCGTTTCTCCTAACGTGCGGCTGAATTACCTAATAGGAGCTCCCAATGCAAACGGGCAGCCGTGCACAGCATCGTAGTATACTATTTGGATAATCTTGTGTCCTACCAAAACATCTGAACCATCTCCTCTCACCACCATTTCTACCGAGCATTTACAACGATCTCATCAGGTTCTTCAGCGTTCGATCACAACGGAAAAATACAATACCACCAAAAACAATATATAGCACGCCACGCCCATCTATCAGGCCATCTACATATCTATCACCACAAGAGCCCTCCCTATATATGTCGACTCTAGACTCCAAGAAGAATAAACACGGACGGATATACATTAAGCCGGATCGGATCGGTCTACTTGAAGAAGAGGCCCTTCTTCCTCCCTCGCCGCTTCTCGACGGCCTGCGCAAAGAATAGTATCCACATGTTAGTTAAAGGAACACATGATCTCATGCCCGGCGTGTTAGCAGGTATGACCTTTGGGGCCTTCTTGTTAGTGATAGTAGGTCATCATCATCACCCTTCAGATGTTAGTGAGGGGTTGGATACAGTACTGTACTGGGGGCCATCATCACTTCATGATGACCAAACAAACTGATGATGATATTGTTGTTATGGAAAATAATAGCAGCAGCAGATGGTGATGGAGGGTGGTGCTGTTAGTGTGCGGTGTGGCTTTCACGAGAGATGATGGATGAGCTCATACCATGGATCTGAACAGTCTTAGCACCAGCACAATCGTATCCCGCGACCTGCGAAGAAGTTTGAATACACAGCACGATAAGCGGTATACAATACTGTATGTGTTTATAACTTTGTATGACAGCGTGCAACCTCTTCAGTAATAAAATAAACTAACATGATGGCAACAGTCAGACAAAAGCATGGAGAGAGAGGAAAGTGGCATCTGGCGGAGTATTTCCAGCTATCATACTTAAAAAAGGAATTTAGTCCTGAAAGGACGTACTTTTGTTCGTACTAAATGAGTCGATTTTCAATTTAAAAAGCGATAACATGTAAAGTTGTTTACTACTGCCAGCCAGAAGCCCATGCTGCTACCAAAAAATTTGGGGGGCACATTAAAACTTTGCGCCTATTTATAGTGAAGCGGTTTTTCAGAGAGGCACTCACGTGTTATTGTCTGCTGGCTGGAGATTATACTCGTCACCATCAGCCGACACAATCGAAAACTCTGTCTGACGCTCGTATCCGTATGGAATATTAATCTGGAAAAAACAGTACAGGATTTGTCATTAGATCACAACATACATATCCAACAAGAACTAAGATGCTCGGGTTTAAATCAAATACTGTATGTAAAAGGGAAATATTGTTGAAACCAGAACTTGAAAGGCAACAGAAATGTCTTGGACTTCATATAATATAGTGCTGGTTAAAATAAAACCAAAGCATGATGTAGACTAGTTTACGGAAGTATAGTTTTAAGCGACTGAGCTTATATGCATGAGTCATTTCTATTGCTCTACCCACATTTTTTTGGTAGGAGTTTACCAATCTCCTGTAGAAAAATACAAGATATAAAGAAAGCAGTGCCCCATCACAATTAAGAATTGTCGCCAGTTTGATAGAAAGGGATTGCTGAAGGAAAGGTTTCAAAATTTGTCAATCCTCACAGCTAGGGTACTAATAGTCTGATACTAGTGGCAAGCATAACTCTGAAGACGACCCATCCATAAATCTAGTCCCAATCTGCACTATCCACAGTAAAATTTGAAGAAGGATCCTGTAGCCTGGAACATAGATCACCTGCTCCCAGAAAGAACTCAGGAAACACGCAGTTTGTGGCTGCTTTTTTGGACTTTCTTACTTTGCAGGCATAGAAACAGAGATATCTATACCACTATACATATGGAACATCACAAAGTTGCCAGAATTATTTCAAGGTAATTACTGGTGAGTATGTACTGACACCTAGCTACCACTGGTTCTCCTTCAGTCCATTTTGGGGAAATCAATGTGGTAATCAGGTACCGAAAGAACCAACAGAATCCCTTGGCAATTTCAGACCTAGATCCACATTTAGGAAAAAAAAAGCTAATACTGAAGAGTAGGTACATACAGCAGTTGCTTTCTGAAATTTCTCCGTGAGAACAACACCACGCTGCCCGTTACATTTAATGCTGTAACCTTCCCTCTTTATTGCCAAAACAGCTGGTTCCCACATGTCTAAGAATCTCACCTGCTATTATGGGATTAAACATTTCATTTAGTTTTGGGACATCGCAAAAAAGCAGTAACAATGCTATTGGTAGATAATTGTAAAGGACAGGAGACATACGGGCAGTTGGACTTGATAAGACACATGCCCAACTTCAAGGGTTTTCTTAATGAGTTCCTTTGTTTGAGGGTCTGCAACAAAGATGATTACTCAAGTTATGACGCGTACAAAGTGCAAGCGGAACAGCATGTTCACAGTTTCGATACTCACCGCAAGTGATTTTTGCTTGATCGTTAGCATAAACCTTTACGATGTCACCCTACAATAGAAAAACACGAATGTTTCAAAATGAAACGAGACATTTTAATACTGGAAGTTATAGAAGCAAATCGGTTTTTTAGAAAAAAGTTTAACCGTCTGCATGATTTCAACCCAGCTTACATAGCATCTTGCTGGTATCAATATTTCATAAAGGAGAAATTTAAGAAAAGAAAACACAGGTAGGATTGTCACACCGTCGGAATATTCTGGATGTCAACAAACAGAAAGAAGAGCATCGATACTAATGGCAAATATCTAGTGATCAATTGACCTGAGCTTCCTCAAATCTGAGATCTAAGAGATCAGAAGGAAAAAAAAAGGTGACTGCTAGGCTTGATTCGTGCTTTAGGAAATACAAAAAAAGAAGAGGTGGGTGGGGACCCTCATCTGTGCTTTTCCTAGTACCAGTAGAGTTCAGAAGTGAAAAATTACAAAAGGTTATCTGGATCTACTTCCTTGAACTTAAGAAGAGCACTCACATTTTGTAGTAATATTCAGCTTCATCGCATGTTTTCACAAAGATCGACATGACACTCTGAGTAAATTTTATTCTCACCATCACGAAGCTCCCAGTCCCCAAGAGTTCAATATTTTGTCATTTCAAAAGGAACACAAAAAATGCATAGTCCCAGTCCCAGGATTCCTAGATGTAAATCATAGCATAAGGATCAGCACATGAGAAACTGACTACCTTTCTTTTTCTGTCGTCTAGGGGTTGGACTTCAATGGCTAGTAGATTATCAACATCATCGGCAGTAACCAAATAGGTGGGTTGCCTTGCTCCTACACACACGCGCACAAAAAGGAGTTATGTGAGACACAATGGCATCCTTCCTGATATAATAAGTAACAAGGTCACAGACCATAAATTCACTTATTATGCAGCACATACACAAAATAGTACCTTCTATGAATTTTACGGAGCCATCATCCAAATGACGAACCCACTGCAGAGACAAAAAAGAATTGCAAAAATGAAAATCCCATGAAAATCTGAACCAACAAGAAGTATGATGAGATAGAAACATAATATTTATTCAAAACGTGTGTCAACAAGAAGTATGGAGCGTACCTCAAAATTACAACTTGTGGTTCCGTTGATGGAGAACCCACTTGCTTGAAGGTCCTGTCCAGGAAAAGGCTCACCCGTGATTCGAAGACCCTGTATGCCTGGCAATGGATCATCCTCTGCAGCTGCATATTGAAAGAAATGGCATCTATCTTCAGACTGAATGCAATGCTAAACAATTATGATGAGTAAGTTTTATATGAACTTAACCCAATAGTCTACCTTCAGAAAAAGAAGAACCAGGCTCCTCGGGAACAGTAGGAAGATAGGGATATGAAGGGTTTGCTTCCTCAAGGCCAGATTCTAAATTAGGTGAGTCTCCAGAACCCCACTGAGCAGAAGGTTCGCGCACATGTTGGTCTTCAGCCCCCACAGAATCATCCAAGACATACCTTCTACTAGGGCCCTCGAGTGGTAGGCTCGAATTCTGAGCAACGAAACCAAACTGCAGAGCATCAGAATCACGTTGAGACGCTTGAGCAGGAACATCCTTCCTAAATTGGTTGCTGCAATCATAAAATTAGTAATCTCATTTAGTACTCTAGTTATGCCTAAATAAGTGTATACAATATGATAAATTACAGACTAACATAAATGTGCTAAACCTGCCAGCAAACAGTTTATGGTTAACAAGATGAAACAACGATATAAAAAGCAAGAGCAGAAGCAAAATGTGCACACGTGACACATCAATGAACTTTTCAGAATTATTGATTATCCTAGAAATTGCAAGATTCAGTGATGGCTCTTCCAAATTATACTATCATCCAATAAATCATTAATCAATGCCATGGACAAAACAAACTTCAGAAGTGTTTATGTCTGTTGTTTTTATCCAGCCTTTCCCTTTTGTCACTTGCTGGTTTGCCTTTTCTTCATCGTTGCTTATCCTGAAGGTGCGGATAACCAGCCAAGTTACTTTACTGATCCTGGTTCTTGTCCCTTGCCTTCCCCCTTTTTTCTTTCTTTTAGTTCTCTTTTCACTTCTTGGTCCTTTGGTTGCCTCCAAATTGATAGCCACGTAAGGTGTCATAACTCATAACCAACTCAATAATAGTACAGGTAGCATTTCAGCAACTAGTAGGATGTTGCTGGGCAATTAATTAACATAGATGATGTAGTCTGGGTGCTAAGTAAGTATTTGCATGACTACCATAAACATGCGACTGAAATACTGCAGATAACACTGTTAAAGAGCAAAAGGTAAATTGTTAAGCTCTTAAAGAATAAGCACTACCTGCTTGAAAGAGCGGTCCTTCCTCCGTAATCTTGATCCATAATTCTTGTAGGAACCTCAGTTGGAATTACTTGATGGTTTTTCCAATTACCTCTGGCTTGAACAGGGGAAGGGGAAGACATTGGAGATTGTACCTGAGGATATGGCGTCTGGGGCACAATATCAAGGCCGCTTTTGTACTGGGAAAGTACGTAAAAGGTTATTAGAGGAAGGAAGCGTGTGTTGCAACATAATAATGACAAAAGCAGTGTAGAGCTATAGTGAAGTTACCGATACTTTTCCAAGAGGGTTGTTAGGTGACTGCACAGGAAGGCTGGTCTTATTTGGCAATTCATTTTGCCATGGGGTAATCTGATACTGTGACTCCTTAACTTTCTCCTGCATCATCCAAGTTTGCACACAAGGCAACTTCAAAGTTCTGTAAGAAAAATATCAGCAGTAAGCTGTGCAAGCATGACAAGCTCACTACTGACTACAGAGTATGTGCGCATTGCGCTTCTGAAACAAAATGCATGTTTACTGTAGCTTCATGTGGCTCACCTCGGTGAGCATTAGTTGCTCCTGCAGATGCCTAAACAGAACCTGCAGGGCGAGGAACACACATTCAGCAAATGGTTAACTCAGGCCCTGGCCACTTCCAGCTCAATTCAGAACAAAAACAGAATCAGCTTGATCTATGCATTTCTGAATTTTAAACTGTGCTCAAGTTGCTCTTCATCATCAAAAGTTGTGCCATGTTTCTTAGTCGCACTGATATAGTTCCAATGAATATATTCAGGTGCTAGTTACTCAATGACGGCTTCCTGCCAAAACTTCGGGAAACAAGACATACCTTCAAATTACCAACAATGGATTGAGCATCGGGGACAGACGGTCGTAGGTTCTCATATTCAGACAGAATAGGCAGCAAAGAGGATATGAACATTGACCTCTCTTGATGTGCAGTCTATACAGTAACAGAACAAAAAATCAGTATCATTTCAGTTTTTTTACTACTATGTTAACAGGTTGTACAGATGAATGATCGAGGTACAAAGAAATTCTAACATATCAAAAGAAATAAAACTCGAATCTAACTACAAAATTCCAAGTCCAAGACCAGGAATATCTTACGGTAAAATCTGAGAACTCCAAAATGTAAAAATGACAGAACCAATTGCGTTCTGTTTACCTTACCCTCAGTCAAGCACTCTCATGGAATAGCTGTTTCTCAAACTGCAAGTTCATAGGTCATAAACCATATCTAACTATTGTAGCAACTGAGCTGCATAAGTATTTTAAGGTGAAAAGATTCCTTAGGTTATTGAAAAACATGGTTATGTGTAACATCCCTGTGCGAAGCTTGAGCTGCAATCCTAATGCACAGGCCCGACTAAGATAACAAATGCATTCATAAACTTTCAGTGAATGTGTTATCTGATCTACTATAATGTTTTTACACACATTTTGGATATTTTACAGCAAGATGCAATAAGAATCTTCAGTTCATAGAATACAAACAAATTCATACAATTTGAAATGGGTATCGTAAAATCGTCACCAATTTAAAATGATGTCTACTTGAGGATGCAAAGATAGAGCATCTGGCAACCATCCAAAGCAAGCATACAAGTCAGGAAAATTCCAATGACAGAAAAGTACCTGCAATGCATATGCCAGGCGGATGTTTTCCTCGATAATATCTTGTCTATATGCTAAAGACTTTGATGCTGCATCAACCAAGTCTTGCTGCTGATGATCGAATGCCTGAAAAAGAAAACCGTTTCAAAGATAATACGGTGTACTCAACCAACGGAACCAAAGAATTGCGATAAAGCAAATATCTTACCACGCGCATATAAGCGATGCGTTTCTCCAGCACCGATTTTTCCTTGAGTATTAGTGCTTCCTAACAGCAATAGCTTGCAGGTCAGGTACAAGATAGAAAGGGAAAGACAGCATGAATGGGGTGCCTTTTCATTGTACAGAAATATTCACCTTTATTATGTAGTTATCCAGATGCTTCCGTAGCTGTGTGATCTCTTCTTCGTGTTCTTTGACCTTAACAGTAAGGTCCTGCATCGGAACGATCTTTGTCAGGAACGTTAGGCCATGCAGATGCATATGGCGTTGCAAGGGAATCAAACTGACCTGCTTCCAGGACATGTTTGAGTTCATCTTGTTAGCGACGGCGGAAGCTGCGTGGGGCTCTTGGCTCGCGCCGCCGCCGAAAGTGGCTTGGGATGCGGCGTCCTCGCTCTGAAACCAAATCAACAGAGAAGAGAGCACGTCAAAGATGATATGTATTTTCATTCGTATAGCCATGCTATGCTAGCAACACCAGTATGATATGATAGGATTCATTGTGCCTGCCGCCGTGCCCTGGTAAACAAAAGGGGGATGGATGAATGAATGATTTGGCACTTACGACCCTCTGCAGCAGGCGCGTCTTCTTCATCAGCTCCTCCTTGAGCCTGTTGTTCTCCTGCAACTAGGATCAGATACCCGGAACCGAAAATCAGCTCATGCGTTGGTTGGTTGCTTCTTTTTTTTTTGCGGGTGGTTGGTTGGTTGGTTCAGCAAACGACACGCCTGACTAATTACTCATAAACTGCATTCAGCGCAGTTTTCTGAAGGCTCACATCACAAGACGTACATACAGATACACTAGTAGGAAGTGTCACAAATTGTGCAGGCATGTAATTGGTACTCCACTAGTGAAGAGGCATCACAAATTCGGCCGTTTCAGCGGCGAGCCCAAGGGGATATGGAATTGCAGCGGGATACAGACTGGGTAAGCTGGTGAGGTAGCGGGGAGGGAGGGGGGTAGCTGACCTGGTCGCGGATGACGTCGAGGAGGCTGCCGTCCCCTGCCGCGGCGGGGGAGGGGTCGTCGGCGGAGGAGACGGAGGCGAGGTGGTCCATGGGGGTGGAGGGAGGCGGCGTAGGGAGGAGACTGACTGACTGGAGCAGGAGCGGGGGAGGAAATTCGGGGAGCGAAGCGCGTGGAATGAAGGAAGGAGAGGAGATGGGAGGGATGGAAATGAAGGCGACGGGCAGTGACGGATGGAAATGGGAGGTATGGCGCGTTCAACTTAATTAACTTAGAGATCATTTATAGCCGGACTTATTAGCAAATCTTGCCCTGAAACATATGCGGACGCCCGGTCAGTGACCAGGCGTGTTCGTTTTGAGCCTCTATTTGTCTGTTCATGCAATTAAACCCTCATTTCATCCTGATATGTCCAGTCACTTGCACGTGATTGCTAGATTTGCCCTTCAAAAAAAAAGATTGCTAGATTTGAAGAGAGGGTGTCGGTGTTAAAACCGGCGGATCTCGGGTAGGGGGTCCCGAACTGTGCATCAATGCCGGATGGTAACAGAAGGCCGGGAACACTTTGTTTTACCGAGGTTCGGGCCCTCTCGATGGAGGTAATACCCTACTCCTGCTTGATTAATATTGATGATATGGATAGTACAAGAGTAGATCTACCACGAGATCAAGGAGGCTAAACCCTAGAAGCTAGCCTATGGTATGATTGTTGTGTATGGAGTTGATTGCCTACGGACTACAACCCTTCGGTTTATATAGACACCGGATAGGGTTAGGGTTACACAGAGTCGGTTACAATGGTAGGAGATCTTGAATATCCGCATCGCCAAGCTTGCCTTCCACGCCAAGGAAAGTCCCATCCGGACACGGGACGAAGTTTTCAATCTTGTATCTTCATAGTCCAGGAGTCCGGCTGAAGGTATAGTCCGGCTACCCGAACACCCCCTAATCCAGGACTCCCTCAGTAGCCCCTGAACCAGGCTTCAATGACGACGAGTCCGGCGCGCAAATTGTCTTCCGCATTGCAAGGCGAGTTCCTTCTCCAAGTCCTTCATAGAAGATTTGTAAACACCAAGAGTAGTGTCCGGTTCTGCAAAATAAGTTTCCACATATTGCCATAGAGAGAATAATATTGACACAAATCAAATCTGCTGACGTATTCCGCAGTGCGCTATCACACTACGGCCAAGTCCTTTACTCGAATCATTTTTACTTTTCCACCTCAGCATGTTTTGCGAGGCGGTTTCCTTGGCACGTCTTGTCAAAGCAGAGATCGCGTGCCCTTTTTACGGATTTCTCATCAATACGGATGTGGGTAACCCTAACCGCGCCATTTACCACGGCGCTTGGGAGGCAAGCGAGTTTTATTAGGCAGGTGGGGACGCACAACCGCATCCGCCCATATAAGGGGATAAGGATCCACCTTTTTACCTACGCCTTCTTCCTCCTTTGCCTATCCATCTCCTGCGCACTCGAGCTCCAGCGCCCAAGCCCGCACTTCCCACCTCAACCTTCTCCAGCGATGTCCGGAGCGGGAGGCAAGTGGAAGGTATCCTCCGTCACGGAGGGCGACGTCAAAAAGCTTAGGAAGGCCAGATACTTGTCCAAAGACATCGCGCACCGGCTTCTCGAGGAGGGGCAGCTTGTCCCCACCCCAAGGCCCCATGAGAGGGTAGTATTTCTTCCCCACTTCCTCCGTGGACTGGGTTTTCCACTTCACCCATTCGTTCGGGGGCTCATGTTCTACTACGGCCTGGATTTTCACGATCTGGCCCCGAACTTCATCCTCAACATCTCGGCGTTTATCGTCGTGTGCGTGGCTTTCCTCCGCGTCCGCCCCCATTTCGGCCTCTGGCTCAAGACCTTCAACGTCAAGCCCAAGGTGGTGCGCGGAAACCAGACGGAGTGCGGAGGCGCCATGGCGGGCAAGATTGCCAACGTCCTGTGGTTCGAGGGCTCCTTCGTAGGGACCTTAAAGGGGTGGCAAGCCGGGTGGTTTTATATCACCGAGCCACGCGATCCGAAATGGATCGCAGCCCCCGAGTTCCGATCCGGACCCCCCACGCGGCTCATGTCCTAGAAAGAGACGGGCCTATCGTGGGGTAACGAGGAAGAGGTGACCGGACTGAAGACATGCATCCAGTCCCTGGTAAACAAGTCAATCAGGCTTGTAAATGTAGTCCAGGTCATGCTCGTTCGCCGAATCCTCCCGTGTCAACAACGGGGCTTTACTCTGTGGGAGTTCGACCCGGCACAGCACCGAACCCTTAACAGGCTCTTCGACACGACGTATGAAGACGTCTGGAAGGTGCTAATCAAAGGTGCCGAGGCTCCCGCATCCGCTTCTGAGGACCGCGGATACAACTCGCAGCATCATGCTAGCGAGGTAAGCCATTTTCACCTTTTACAGGATGTTCAGCTTTTTTTATAGTTTAACTCTATGCGGGATCTAAACTCCCTTACCTTTGACAGGCTTGGCGGGCGGTATCCGGACCGATTAATTGTCCGGCTCCGCTGCCCTCATACGTAGTATATGTAGACCAAACCAAGCAACAAGGCAAAACCACATAATCACACGAGTTAACATCACAGGATAATAATAACGACATAGCTTAGTAGGCCAACCATCTCACAACAAAAACAACATTAACATCAAGCCATACATCTAACAGCAAAAACTCATAGTTACTGAATATAGTAAGTAATTGTAGTCTAGCAAATTTAATAATCATATATTGCAACACAATAAAGGATAAGCAAACGACTTATGAAAGTACACTCTAAGATCAATGCGTACTGTGCTAAGATTATGACTTGTTGCGTTCCCAAAAAAAATTATGACTTGTGATACTAACTTTACCATCTAGTTGTAGGGGTTCAAATTGGTGATACCCTCGGGGTACCCTCCAATCCGCTTTAGTTGAATCAAATGTATCATTTATTTAAATCGCATCACTTTCTAAAAACTAGTTCGTTTGTAGAACTAAAAAAAGTTCAGAGGTATATGAAACAGGACCAACTAGTCATCATATTCATTTCACCGCATGCAACTTGCTAATAGATTAGGCAACATTATACATACCACAGAACCATGCAACTAACTTTTAACATTAACGATTCATATTTCGACGATCATCCACTTCATGCTATTAGTAAAACATTGAAAAACACCTTACATAAAAAAAACAGCACACAAGTCAACATCACATCACTAGGCCTAACTTGGTAGCCAACCATCTTACAACTAAAATAGCATTAACACTAAGGCATATATCTAATGGTGGTCATCTATATATGTACCAAATGCAAAGTAATTATACTCTAGTAGTTTTAATCATCATATGTCGCAATGCAAAAAGGATGGACAAGCAAACTGACTTTCCAAAATACACTATGGTCAATGCGCACTCTGATAAGATTATGACTCCTAAGCCTAAAATACATTATCTTTGTTATCTTTTATAAGATAACATACAATGCAAGTTATTTCTCGTGGTACTCATAAAATAGACCAGTTTTCATTTGAACATTAGTGCTTATTTGTGAAAGGCATATGTCTAATTAGGCACCCCCGCCATAGATATAAGCACGGGTGCTTACAAAACACTCGATTCATTTTACTAAGCACTTCATTTTACTCTGTTGTACATGGTCTAATTCATTTATCCGGGAGTACAAAGAGAACCGAATAATAAACTATCACCATCCTTTTTACTAAATGAAGATACAAACTTAGAAGTATGCAAGAAAGGCGACACAAATTTTATATATTATTCTTTGTCCACATGGAAACTAAATATAGAATGTGAAAGTTTGATCCATTATTTTTAAATCCAACACTTGCGAGAACAACACAGCAGTCGTTATTATCATTCACTATAAGAAACTCGCCCATAAACTGGACGATATCCTACTTTCTAAAGATGTATGCAAAAGATCCAAATACAAATGATTCATTATTTTGGCGATCATGTTTTAGCATGATACCGGTTTTTTTAAACACGTCCTCTATACACACTAGACTGTACAATCCACTAAGCAACGAGGACAAATCCTCACAAGCCACACATATTAACATCACAAGATAAAAATAATAACACCAAAAGTGCAGGTTGTACCTTAGTAGCCCAATAATTGCACAACTAAAACATGCATAAACATCAACCATGCATCGAACAATAATTATTTATATAATAAATAGGGAATGCATCATATAGTTACGATCTATCAGTTTTAATCATCATATACCACAACCGAGTAACTATAATTTAGCAGTTTTAATCATCACATGTCACGGCGTAGAAAAAAGATAAGCGAACAACTTCCCAGTTTTGCTCGCCTCAGTCACCACAAGTCATATTGAAGTTACCAAACTTGCAATAATTAACATCAAACATGAATCATAAGCAAACTGCCGGCGAATGGATGTAGCCCTTTGATCCTAGATCCCCTCGACATGCCTGCTAATGTAAAAGAAAATAGTAAAAAGGTCAATTGTGAGAAAACATATGCATATAAAAAAAATTAACCAAAGTATATATTAATAAACACCAACCCAAATATACACATAGTGACTAATTACAATAATTTAAACATGATAAAATTCAAGAACAAGAATAAAATGCCCATCTACTCTCTGATTTCACAAAATCATTCAAATCTAAGGAATATTTCAGAAACATGTGATAAATTTGGCATGTATACTCTCCTTTCAAGTCTTCCTTTTACAAAAAAATCCATAAATCCAATATAAATTGAGCATGGCCTCTTTGATAGCAAACTACAATTATTTGACACAGACATGCATGAATATTTGAAAGAGGACATTACCCAGACCATTTTACTAAACGTACAGCAGGTTCTGCACAAGTTCATCTACTGCTAGATTACTACTAAAGTTACATGAATCTAATAGGTTGTCTCTTATTTAATAGTGGGCTCCACGGTAAAATATTTGTCAAGCAAAATGAACATAGAGATCTAGGGAAAGTATTCCAAATTAACCTCAAAATGTCGTTGCGTAAAAATGTTTTAACAAGCTTCAGACAGCAGATTTCATAAGCTCAAGCTTAGGTATGCTATGTATCTTGTC